GGAAAGAGATTAAATTTAACTTGATTAACAAGAGCCAGTGCGCCGTTATCTCCGTGACTAGAAATGAGGGAAAAACAAATTGATCGGATCCTGCACGTCTTTTAACACATTGGTCAGGATTGACGCACTTCGTTTTCATTTAGTTTTTAACCCTTTAACGCCGATGCGTCACCAGGATCACCGGTGACGCATCGGCGCATGTTATTTCAAACAACTCGCTACTTAAACTATAAAATTCTTTAAAAAAAACCTAAAGGAGCTATTGTGTGGTGCTTAAAGGGATAATGAAATCAAGGCCGTTTCATATTCCATTCTCCTCTGTAATCAGGAAGTGATCGAGGTCACTTTTCTGAGACCTGAATGAGAAATATTAACACAATCGGAGAAACTGCTCCAAATGTCTGACTTGCCTTGCTTTGGTTTTTGTGTCATAAAGACCTTGTTTCAGCTTCTTTTCAACATCAGTTGCCGACTCCATCATACTCATCCCGGAACGAGGCCGAATATTACATTTTGCTAAAACAAACAATACAGACCTAAAACAAAACTATAGCAAACAAAAAGGTAGGATTCAAGAAGAAATAGTACTCACCTCTGTCGTGATGCTGGAGAAATGAACAAATTAGTCCTGATTCCCGGTCTTCGATCACTATTTTTCCCGCCATTTGATGAGTTTTATGGCTTGCCAAAATAACCCCATAGCACACCTGCAGAAGTCAAAGACGCTGTCCCGCTCTCTTCTGGCTACCCAGAATATGCCATAATAGCCAGCCGCCTAATTTTCTATTATGGCAAACCATAATTATGCCACGGTTAAAACAGAAACACTCGCTGATGTAATTGTCTATAATGGGAACCCAAAATTATGCCACATTTAAACCAAAATACTTTTTCGAACTTTTTTGTGCCAGAAGGATGCCAAAATGCCCAATTAATGCCAAAATAAAACCAAAATGAAACCAAAATGTTTGCTATCTGGGATGATGATGGGACGCAGCACAGATAACTTCACTTGAAGGGTTAAAATAACGACCACACCAAAAGAAAAACAATAAAAATGTTTTGTTTGAGGGTTCAAATCTAATAAGGTCATTTTAATATAAGAAATAATACAGGGTTTACATTTTTTTCATTCAAACCTCCATGTTTATTTTTGTTTAGTAGTGTTTGTTGTCCAGTTATGTTCGGTCAGTGCTCCAATAAAACGTTGGGAAGACTGGAAGCTTCATGCTTTTAATTCGAGTGAAGTTGTGAGATGTGCAGATGAGTTACTAGTGTGTAAACAAAAGTGTGACTCTGGAGTCATCTTTCAAAAAGACTGCAGGCTGGAGGTTATCAGGGGAGTGAGAGTTAGGAGCACAGCAGGAGGTGTTTGTGGGACTTAATCTGAAAATAATATAAACACAACAGGGGAAATCTGGTTAGTCTGATTAACAAAGAGAAAGTGTTGAAGAGGAGATTTATGAGGAATAGACACGGATGGAGGGAGGCAGTGATCCTTGTCGCCCCCTAGTGGCAGAAATGGATTAACCTTTTTCATAAATACTGTAGTTTGTAAACTTCATTCAGCTGAAAACCTGATGTTCATTCATTCATTCAGTCTTCCTGATGAATGCTGAATTTGTTTCTGAAAGGTTTTGGAAGCATTTTGGACAACATTTTTTTAAACGGTCATTATTTATTTTACAAACATCTGTAGCTGAATAATTAGAACTTGTTACTTCTGACATTGTTCTGTTTTGAGTTAATTAATTTGGACACAAGCTGATTACAAACAAATGCATGTAAAGAAATACGTCATTCTGTGAGGATACGACTAACAAAAACAGAACATCATCATCATCCTCGCTTTCTCTTTCTCCGACACTCCTGGTCATTCCGGTGCTTTATCCCTCATTATGTTTGTGTGTGTTATGGGGGGGAGGGGGGGGGGTCCTGGTGCCGTGGTGGTATGTCGAGTGTTTATAAGGAGAGGTGACCCAGTGTGACCTTTGACCTCGACACAACGAGGAGAGCGGTGGACTGGGTCACATGTACTAATGCTACTTAGTGCTAATGGATAACAGAACGGGGGCAGAGAGGGACGCGACCTTCCAGACATGCTGTTTCTCAGAATTTAAAGGGACATTTCAGCTGATTTTTCCTCCGCCAAACTTTATTCATCTATTTATATGAAATGGGAGCATTTTTAAGTGAAAACATAACACATCAGATTTTGCTGGAGTCAAAAGAGTTTTATTTGTGCTTTTATGTTTGTATTCTCTAACTTTTTACAGCTCGGTTTTATTATAGTCTACTAACAACAGCAGCTTTCCTAATTTATCCCACAGTTTAGCATCAAATTAGAGACCGAAGCCAGCATTGAGTTGATGCAACAGGAGCGGTTTAGAGAAGCACCTCATCAGTAATTGATCATAAAGTTTACTGCTGTTTTTCACTTGGAATCAGCACTTTTCATCCCTTTGGGAAGTTTTACCGCCCGACTTTCCTTCCAAGTGGTGAAAAAGCTTTTATAACAGCTTCATAATGCAGGACAGAAATCTGTACAGTAGAACGAAAGAGTTTTTTTTCACCCATGGTGTTCAGTCCCAGCTCTGGAAGGCCACTGTCCTGCAGGTTTAGATGTTCCTGCCGCAGCACGCCTTATTCAGATCCACGTGTTGCTGCAGGACTGGGGGACAAGCTGAAAATGTCATTTAATCAGGTGTGTTGAGCAGGGAAATAACAAACATATGCAGGGATCAGGATTGCGTAAGATTGAATTTAGTTCATTTTTATTGTTGTTGCACCTGGTAACTGCAGTTCCTTTGTGGAGCATGTAAGCTAAAAAAGAAACAAGGTAGTATAAAATGAAAGGGAATCATTAAGTAGTGGTAAAGTATTGCACAGGAGCACCACTGTCTTAGACACACATTTGGACACATCACCACTTTCTTTGGTTTGCAGTAAATTGCAAACAACATTTAAGAGTGTCTCGAATCACAAGAAAGGTCTCTCAGTTCTCCCGTGTGAGCTGCAGGGCCTCGCCGCCGCTCAGCGGGTCTTCAGGGAATGCTTGAAAATTTAGCAAGATACATTTTGTTCTCTAAAGAAAAATTTTGCACAACTGCAGCACAGATGTCACAGTTTGTATTCTCCCCACACACCCTGGGCAATTCTAGATTGTGTTGCAAAGAAAGCGGTGCTGATTAGTGAAGTAGACGTGTCCTGTCAACAACCTGTTTGAGTTTTGTTGCCTTAACTTGCAGCTTTATGTCCAATTCTGTTGATATCCCGTCATTATTAATCTCTTTTTTTTTCAACACTATCACCTTGTGTTACTTTTAGTAAAACTTTATTGTGTCACAAGCAGGATTCAGCTCCTGTATTTTTATATTTTTATACATGATGATTTATTTTATTGTTGTACGACTCCTAAAGGATTCTCTCAGGAAACCGTAATTTTATAAGAACATCTACGGTAGAATAATCTCACGTTCTTCGTGTCTGGGCCGTTCCATTTCATCTGTCCCGTCTTTCCATCTCCTTTTCTGTCATGACATCATCTGACCTCGGTGTGGTTGGGGTTTAGCTGGAGCTCTGCTGCTATAATAAACCGGCCCGGTTTATTTTCGCCCTCCTTTGATCCGGCCTTGTTAGAGCCTCCTGCCGCAGTGCCGCAGGGCCACGGGACCTGCCAGCCTCCGCTTTATAAACCCTCACAGTTTGTAAAATAAAACACACTCAGCATGTGGATGAAATCTGCAATAAAAGCTGGGTGTGAAAGTCGAGCAAATTAAACGACACAGACCCGGTCCAATCCCACGGTGCAGTTAGCAGTAATGACAGACACAGTGTGCTGTTGTTCCTGAAGGCGACAGGAGGCTTGTTGACTTGGTGTGAAAAATCACAGCTAAACTGTGAAGAGGACAGTCGTCTTTCACTTCTCAGACTCCAAACTTCAGACCCCTGAGGTTCACAGCAGTCCAGAATCTGCAATAACTAAACTTATTGTTAAATGTAACAATGAAACTATGATTTTTGAGGAAATGTAGCCATCTTCTCCATTCGTTTAGTAGATTGCTGTACAAAAAGAGACATTTATTTATTAGCAACCATAGAAATACTGTATATTAGTTGCAACGTAACTTTGCAACAACGACCTGAAGGTAGTCTGCTATGACGTCTATTTTTGTTTGGGCTTGCAGGCTCCGGTAGATCTCCTCTCCTTCCTGTTTGGTTCATTTGACTGGTCAGCCAAGTTCAGTTAAGTTAGTTGTGCCTACAAGAGTTTTTAAAAAGTGTGAACTTAAAATAAGTTAGTTGTATTTCTCATTCTAAACATTATTCTATGGTCATTTGTACTGTTTCTAACATGATAAACTTTTCGTATTTACCTTTAAAAAAAGCTGCAAACATTATTTTATGGTATTTTTTTTAATTTGCATTCTTCAAAATAAATCCAAAATAGATAAGTAAAAATCTGAACATAAACATGCTACAAAGTGGTGATCCAGATCAACATGCTATATGGAGATAAAATTCATCATTCTAATAATTCAAGTGCGGGTCGTACAAAATCGTTTGGGGGGCCGGAAGTGGCCCCCAGGCCACACCTTGGTCATGCCTGATTTACAGTCTCAACCCTTATTTGGGACTGAACGCTTTTCACAACTAAGAAGTTGCGCATAACAGTGGTCAAGGGTTACAATACTAGATGACTGCTTCTGTACATAAATAAGTTAGATGTGCTTATATACATAAACCTTTGTTATTATTTTTCTTCAGATTATTCTCTTTAAGTCTTTGTGCGGCTGTAACAAGTGAATTTCCCCACTGTAGGATCAATAATTCTATTAATAGTTCTGTTCTATTATATTCTGAACGTTCTGTTTAACTGTTTGACACAAAGTTTAAATAAGCTGAAATAAAAAAAACCCTATAGATTACCGGAGGAAGGAATACCAGAAAATGTTTGGTGAATTTTGGAAACCCGATGAACTCCTCTGTTTTTCCTGCAGGGCGGGAAAGCGGACTGTAAACAGGAGAAGTGTCCTCTGGTTCCTGATGACTGTGCTCTGGTGGTGAAGCAGACTGGAGCCTGCTGTGAGAGGTGTAAAGGTAAGGCAGACAGGTGGACAGACTGTGTTATTTAGCATGATATTACAGTGGTAATGACAAAAATCAACCTCGAGAGCTTTATTGCAGGACCGCTGTATCTGCAGCTGCGTGGCTGTAATGGGGGGCCGTTAAAACCCAGAAACATAAAGATCCTAACCAGAGTCTGAAAGAGCGCACACACACTCACAAACCCCTGAGGGATGCCTTTATTGCATTGTATTCGAACAGCCAGGCCCAAAAACGACCTGTGGGGGTAAACCTGGATTTTTTACCTCATGTGAGCACGCACACACACACACACACACACACACACACACACACACACACACACACACACACACACACACACACACACACACACACACACACACACACAGTGCATGGAGACAGTTTGGCTGCTGACAGGGTTCACCGTTAGGTTTACAAGCAGCAGAAATACAGTTGCTTTTATGAGCCTGAAGCTCCTCAGCATCTCCTCATGCCTCATCATAAAGGGACATATGTTTGTTTATACATCAGAAGAGCTGCACTCCTCATGAGAAGCGCCATACTAATCTGCTTTAGGGGTTTCTTCTTCTTGTATTCACAGATCCTTTGGTGTTTCTTTATTGTTTGCAAGCGACTGTGGATTCAAACAAAGGTTTGATCCTGTTAAAACAATAGAATCAAATGCAGTAAAAGTACAAGTCCTGCAGTTGTGCACCTTCGCTGCCTCCTTTCATCATATCTCAACTTCTGATGCAAATTTACAAAGTGTGTTTTTAACCTGCTTTAAAATATGTTTGTATTCACATGCATATCTATTAGATTTTGCGATGTGTATACAGCTACATTTGTTCCCACACTCCCTGAAAATTCTTCATCTCTGCTGAAGAATAAATCTGTATCCGTGGAGTAAAGGAGGATGCAAAGAAGCATGAGGACCTGATTTCTGGTATACAATTATTTACTGTAGAGCATCCTTATAGAGCTCCATCTTCATCAGATTCTGGCGTCCCAACCTAAATAAACCCAAACAGCTTCTTGGAGGATGGGCTCGCTCTGAGCTGTAGAAACCACGAGGCTCCATGGAAATATAAAAACACACACCTTCGTCCCTGCCCTCAGCAGGGGCGCAGCATTTTTGTTTGCAGTTCGCCGTTTTACGGCGCAGCACTTCGTTAGGAGAGATGGAACGCGTTCAGCTTGGACGCGAAAAGTCCTGCGTCGCCTCAGTAGTCCGTTTGTTTTTGTGCGGCTGACGTTTGGTAGCTTTGACCAAATTTAAGACCTTTGTTTCTCAGTTTTGGGAAACCTCTACATGTCACAGCTCAGCCTTTTCAGTGGTTTATGAAATCATACCCACAGTTAAAGAAATCACAGCCAGATTGCATCACTTTACGAGGAAGGGTTTACTCTAATATTGCTCTAATAAACAAGTTTATGCAAGCTGCAGCACACAAAAGGGCATTTAAGAGTTATTTAAAAAACATATGTCATTTAAAAAGGTCTGAATAGAATATTAACGTTTTTATTGTCATTTTTAGTCATGTTTACACTGGATCCTCATTGTTTTTGTTTGGATCCAGCTCAGCAAGTCTGACATCAAGGGTAGATCAGACCCAGTGGAAATGGATCAAAAATAATAAATATTTTACTAATTAGTGGAAGTTTATGTAGAAAATCTGTAAATAATTAGAAATAACTTTAGAAAAGGGAAAGGTGGACACGAGAGTTAGAAATCTAACAATGTATGAAGAAATCCCACGATGATGCACAGATGTGAAATGCTGCCAGAAGGTAGAACACAAGTCGTTAACATCGTTTGTTTTTAAAAGACTTCATCGTTGGAAAAACTGGTAAATGAGCTCAAATCAGTTTGTTTTGAGAATTTAAATTTATTTTAGAATTTAGAAACAATGAACTACGAACAGGAAATAATTCATTTTCAGTCTGACAATAAAATAAACTCTAATTAATTAAACCATTAATGTTAAATTGATAACTCTGGAAAGCCTGATTAGTCACTTTTACAAACAGAAAAGACTTCTAAGGATTGTGATCTTTTAGGAATGAGTAACACAGCTAAACGTTAGTGCTATGTAGGTATTTGTCCTTGTTTTGTTACATTTTCTAAACATTTCCTTGAGGTTCACGTTAACTCAGAACTTTATCTCATAATAAATTCAAATTTTTACCCCAATAAGAGGATTTTTCTTTCTTCAGACTGCTGCAATGCCCATTTGGTGCTGTGGAAACATTGAACTAAGTCCTGTTTGTTTCATCTAGAATGTGAGGTCTTTTCAGGTCGTGTTTGTGAGTTCATGAGCAGAATGTGACTCTGAGATCTTATCTAATGCATCTGTTATTATTTTTAAAACTGAATCTGTTCCTGCAGCAGAGATGCTGGATCAGAAGTTTTGTTTTACAAAGAATAATGCTGATCAATGGCCGCGATCGGGTTTCGGTGAATGGAAAGTTAAACATTGATCTGAGAGCATTTTACTGTACATGGGATAAAATAAACTGGCTCTTGGTTTTATGGACAAGGGTTGACTTTTGGTGCATTTAAGAATATATTAAATCTAAATGAGTGATTTTATTGTTATTAGATAAATAATCATTATATGTTACTTACTAGAGTTACATAAAGGCAACTAGAAAAAAATGTGCAGTTATCTTCAAAATCATTACATATTAGATTTTATGAGTTTGGGAAAAATGCTTCAGTTTTTATTTCTCTAATACAAATTAACAGTATTTTTAAATTGTTGACTATTATTTCCTATAATGAAGGAAACCAGTTCCCCATGTTGCTTGTTTTTTAATATAAAGAAGACAAATGTGACTAAAACTACTCCCTATGTCTCTGGTTTAGGCTGCACGTTAGACGGCCGATCCTACAACAGCTCCATCTCCTGGACCAGCTCATCCAAACCCTGCATAACACGACGCTGTCAGGTCTGCACCCTGGAAGATCTGACCACAGATCAGATTTTAATTTGTTAGAGGAGAACAGAAAATGAAGAGAGCAAGGGAACTAAGAGAGGTGGGAAAAAAAATCAGAGGAGAGAGAATAGTCAAAAGAGTGATTGAGTGACTAATGACAAGATGTTTATTTCTACAAGACGATTTAAGGAGGTAATGATTAAAACAATGTTGGATAAGATAAAAAATAAAAGTATGAGGAGTAAATTTCTAGCTGCATGAAGGGAATGATCAAAAAGAAAGTGTATGAAAACTGCATGAGAAGAAAACAGGAGAGGATGAGATCTTTTTCTGCACACACTGAAGGAACGTTTTTTTTGCTACAGGAAGGCGTGATCACAGAGGCCGAGGTGCAGTGCGTCATCCACTGCAAGAACCCCAAAATCCACCCTAAAAAGTGCTGTCCCACCTGCCCCAGTGAGTAACTCACTTTACAAAAATGCTGTTGTCTCTTGTTGCTGTCCCACAAGCTGGAGCGTAACATATGGGGAGTATGATTCTTGAGAGGCCTCAGGTTCAATACCCGGACAAGCCCCCAGTTGGTATTGCCCAACGAGCTGGGTTGTAACATTGCTGTCAAAAGCAAAGCTTTCAGACACTTTTAGAACCAGACGTTAGAAATCATATTTACTGAATATTCGAGTGAGTTCTTACATTTTTACTGTCTGCAGGGAAAAACTACGTTTTTTTTTCTCATCGATTTGTATTGACACCATCTCCCATAGTACTTTCCTCAGCAGACATACGTAGGTATTACTCACATTCCTCTTGCCTGGTTGACCTCCTAACTCTCTGGCCATACAAAATTTGTTCAACTGAAGTCATATAAATCCAATCTCTTTCCTGTTTCTGCTGGTGTACCCCAGGGCTCTGTCCTGGGGCCCCTTCTGTTTATCATTTACCTTCTCCCACTAGGTTTTATGTTCCGCAAACACAACATTCATTTTCATTGTTACACGAATGACACCCAGCTCTGCCTCTCAAATTTTTATTTTTTACATCTTAGTGTTTTTATATATTTTTGTAAAGTGTAATCTTGTTATTTTTTTCTCCCATGGCTGTAAAGTGTCCTTGGGTGTCAAGAAAGGCGCTTTCAAATAAAAGGTTTTATTTATTTATTTATTATTTATTGTTATTATTAATGCATTTTTAAAGGAGTCAAACTAATGAGAGACTTTTCCTTTATCTCAAGGAGAAACTGTTTTAAAAACCAATATTTTCAGTTTAAAAAAACTTAAAGTTATTTATTACCTTTTGGGAAAAATAAAATGTGTGGAGACAAAAAGTGAATTGAAAGACTTTTTTTTTCTCATTTGAACACCTTTTTCCTACAGGTTGCATCTTTGAGGGCCGCCTGTATAAAGAGAAGGAGGAGTTCAGCCCTGAAGGCAAACCCTGCATCAGGTGCACGTGCACCGTGAGTCCACAGGCCATGTCCACCCTCACCCTGCAGCAGAGACTCTGTCCTACACCACCCTGTTACCTACCCCTTACACACACATACACACACACACACACACACACACACACACACACACACACACACACATACACACACACACCCTCCCCTCTTAAACAAATAAACCCTACAGGTCCTTCCATAAACACATAAGAGCATTAATGTGCTGCCACCTAATTAGGACACCCTATAGACTTTCTTAAACAAACACACACAAACAGACTGTTACAGCTTTTTCTGACATTTGTCCATTATTATTATTATTATTATTATTATTATTATTATTATTATTATTATTATTATTATTATTATTATGTTATTCAATAAATATGATTTTTAGAGCATTTCTGCAGACATATTTGCATACAGTTGTGTTAAGATATGTTATTAATGTAAAGTTGCAGTTTTCTTTTTTGTTTCTTGTTATTTTGTCAATTTTATGGACAGAAAAGCTAATTATTGATAAACTCATAAGATTCAAGTCATGATCTCATTACATTAGAGCAGTCATGTATAGAAAAACATGTGGGTTGTTAGATAAATGATAATAACAATATGTTTTTGTTATTTCAGGGCGGGCGGACCCTCTGCATGAAGGAGGCGTGTCCTGTGCTCTCCTGCCCAGCCCACCTCACCCACACTCCGCCTGGACAGTGCTGCCCCAGATGTGTTGGTAATAAGGAGCTATTCAAAACTGAGTTTGTGTCAGACTGATCTGTGTTCCTCTGTTTTCTGATCACAACTCGTGTGATTCTCCTCCAGGTCAGAGGAAAGTGTTTGATCTCTCTTTAGGAAGTTGTCTGTTCCACAGTGACGTTTATGAGAACGGCACCTCCTTTGTCCTCAACAACTGCACCAGCTGCACCTGCGAGGTAAAATCTTGCTTGGGAAATGTTTGTTGTTGAAGGAAACACTTTTGCATCACAGATTTTTCACTTCTTTCTGTAAAACATTGACTTTTTTATGAGGCAGAAGCAGTGAAAGGGACAGAAATAACTGAGTCATTAAATAATTATGAAGTTTATGTCTGACCTGTAGCCCCCTCTTTTTTAGGAATCCACAGTGGTGTGTAAAAAGCAGTGCTCGCAGCCAGGTAGTTGCCATGGAGATCAGTGCTGTGAAGAGTGTCTGTCATATGTGAAGATGGAGGAGGTGAAGTACTGCAGAGTCCGGAACAAGATCTACAGGGTGGGTGAAGATCTACAGGGTGGGTGAAGATCTACAGGGTGGGTGAAGATCTACAGGGTGGGTGATTGGATGGATAGATCGATAGGAGGGTTGATGGATGGATGGACGGACGGACGGACGGACGGACGGACGGACGGACGGACGGTCGGTCGGTCGGTCGGTCGGTCGGTCGGTCGGTCGGTCGGTCGGTCGGGGTTGGTGGGTGGGTGGGTGGATGGATGGATGGATGGATGGATGGATGGATGAGTCTTCATTTTAAACCCTGTATCCTCATGTTTTTCCTCCATCCCTCCACAGTTAGGGGACATGTGGTCGTGGGTTAACTGCACCCTCTGCTCCTGCGTTGAAGGCAACATCGAGTGCCGACCCAAACAGTGCGTACCGATCACCAGCTGCCCCTCGGTGAGCCACAGCATTTCTCATCATGATGCTGTTTTTATTTGTGTCCTAAAACTTGATCTCTGTCCTTTATGTCTAACTTACCAGACTGGTTGTTTTAGCTAAATGATTGTTTTGTAGGTTTTTCTAGCTTCTAAACCTTTGGCAGATTGGTTTTCCTTAGATAAACACACATCCATGTAAGTGATGAAGAGTTTGATCCATTTCACAGTTGAAACAAACGAAATGAACTGATTAATGATTATTTTACAGATAGACCTTACACAGAGGCCTGTTAACTCCAGCTGGCAGACCAAAATAAACTGTTATTGTACAGCAAATGAAAACATTTACAATTATTTAAAGACCCCATTTAGATGTTTCACTATATCTTTCAATTGTTTGAGTTTCAAATTATCCATCAGATCCTAACAAGCAGTGCAGCGATTATGAATGATTTAGTTCTTATTCCAGGGAAGTCATCAGCAGTTGCTTTTTACAGAAAAGAAACAAGATCCTTCTAGAAGCATGAGTCAATTCCTAATCGCTTCAACTCCGCTCAGTTAGCTCAGACAGTCCTATTGGGTTGTAAACTTTTCTTGACTGAAGGATCCGCTGAGCTGAAAAACTGTGGGAACTGCTGGCAGGAAAAAGTTTTATGCTGCGTTCACCTGTCGCAGAGGTCGCTCCGAAGTCATGTGTCGGTTGGCGGTTGATGGAGTAGATTCCTGTCATACCGCCAGCCGGTGCCGGTCATGCAGTCAAAGCTGGTGTCATCGATAGTCCAAGTTCACACACATCCAGTGGTTCCAACAAGCCCTCACCTGTTGTTCACAGTCAGACCCGAGAGCTGCGGCTTAACGTTGGTGGTCTGACGAGTGTTTTCATTCATCATCCTCCTGAATTTAGGATTAAATACCATGTTGTTGCAAATCTGTTTATTTATGACATGTTGTAATTTTAACTCACTCATTAAGGATAATAAAGATGATCCCACCAGGGGAAAGTGTTTCTGACAAGGACCTTTACTGTTTCAACAGAAGTCTTTTTTCATTCTTAACCCAAAACATAATAAAAAAAATAAAATATTTTTGTTTGTGTGCATCTTCTAGTCATTTGGGACCATAAGGGTTCAGCAATTTCATCAGCATTAAGTTCAAATTAATGTAAGAATTCACTTTTGTCTTCAAACATCTGCATAATTGTTGGACATTTTTTAGTGTTGTACTTTTTTATGTATGGTTAGTGCGTGCTTCCATACGTTACAGATGATACCTGTTAGCCCTGCTGGTGAAAGGGTTACAAATATTTTAGACACAATAAAAGAGTTCAGCAATGAAACGGTGAAGATTTAGCACTTTTCAGGTAACGTTCAAAACAAATGTATGCATAGAAAACACTTCAGACCCCAACGTCCTGCTCAGCGAGCCGCAACATTTAACGCCTGTCACTGTGTGGTTTTGTTTCTGGTGTGAACATAACATGTTTGAAAACAGACATGCATCCGTCTCCAGTCTTACACCGCAGAACTGTGGCTCTGATTCACTCATCTATGAACTTTTAACGGTTTGCATGAATGAAAACATTTGTGTAGGAGGCATTTCCTCAGGTTTAAACAGCACCCTCATAGCAGGTATGTTAGTGTTTATAATTAAACGCCACACCTGTCCTAAGTTATCATCTGACACCGAGGTCACCACACACACACACACACACACACACACACACACACACACACACACACACTCACACTCCCATGCCTCGTCCTGCGGTCAGCAGCAGGTCAGCAGAGTGTCTGGGTCCCCCGTGGAGACAGAGTGTCTCCGAGCAGCCTTTTGTCTGCAATACGTTTGAGTGACAGCGGAGAAGAGGTGCCCTATATTTAGGCCCTTGGAAACTAATCGCTGTCACGGTGTGTGTTTGAAAGGGAGTGTGTGTTCGTGTGCATCCTCGGTGCATCTAAAGGCAGCCCTCTTCAAAGACCCACAGCACCCTTTATGTTGGGGTTAGACCTCTGCAGCGTATATGGAGCGTTCAGAGCGCGTCTGCGCACGATGACAGACGAGTGGCGTCGACCGCGGAGAAGACGGGAGAAAAGTGTGTCTGTCCTTTTGGAGTCGGCGTTTAAAACTTTCAAAGGACTGTTGAGGTTTAAATGAGATTTACAGAGACAGAATGAAGTTTGGAGCATTTTCTATCGGTGAGGCCTGATAAAAGTATAAACGTGTGTTTAGACCGGTGAGGAGCATGCCTCGGGCTGTGGAAGTGTCGTCTGATCCGCAGAAACATCTGCTGAAAAGAAGAGGCAAAGTGTCTTGTTACATAAAGTTAAATCATCAGCATCTTACCTGTAGGCCTGTCCTCGTTTGTGAACTTGTCCAGACCTGAACTTCTTATACATACTGTAGCTTTTACCTTTAGAAAAATGATTGCACCTATTTTCAATTTCTATGTCAAATATTTTTAGAAATTTCAAACATCTGTGTCCAGTTCACCTGCTTTTCTTTTATTATTTATGCTCAGTTGTTCTGCCTTCATCAGAAGATGTAATCTGTATCATCTCTCTCAGAACAAGATCCTGAACAGAACTGGCTGTTGTCCAGTTTGCACTGAAAGTGAGTAAGTCTGTTTCATCAGAGTATCTCCTAATAAATGTATCCTAGGATAGCTTTTCTTCTGGTCATTTTACTTTTATTTTTGGCTCCAAACGGCAGAGAAATCACCCTAAATGCTCTACAAACCTCTCAGAAACATATTTAACATGTTGGAAACATCTTTCACATAGCTATAGTCATAGAAGTTGAAGTTGCACTCATGTTTTCTGTCATTTGCCTAGAACAACATTGTTCTCCATATTTTGTGTCCATGCCTCGCTCCAGAGCCAGGTGTATGCACAGTCTTTGGCGACCCTCACTACAACACCTTCGATGGAAGGACCTTTAACTTTCAGGGAACATGTCAGTACGTGCTAACGCGTGACTGTGGAGGGACTTCGGGAGCGCCGGGAAACAACAGCCCAGACTCCAGCTTCACGGTAGGATGGGCGTTAGAAAGTTTTCATAAGTAAAAACTTTAGAAATCTGTAAAATTAGTTAGAAAAGAATGAAGATGGATGATGCTAATCTAGACAGTACACGTTGGGGACCAAAACATCAGAAGGATCTTGGCTAGGAGGCACAAAGGGGGCGTGGTCAACTACCACACATGAAAATTGGGACACTCGCACCCCTGGGCAGGAACGCACGATTAAAGGTGAAAGTTTGAGTACTGGGACTGGGCCTTCGTATCACTTTTATGGCAGTGTCACACCTGGGCCAGCACGGACCGGGCTGGGTGGCGTCGGTCCGGGTCCCGCACCGGAAGGATTTGTTCACACACACTTCTCAGGAACAGGGAAATGTCCAAGCACGTGGGTGGGGAAAAAGACACACGGAAAAGTCCCTGGTGTCTTCCTTCAACGTTGGCCGTGCAGCTCAAGGCACGGCAGCGCTGTCTCTGTGTGTGCGTGTGTGTGTGCGTGCGTGCATGCGTGCGTGTGTGTGCACATGCGTGCATGTACGTGTGTGTGTGTGTGTGTGTGTGTGTGTGTGTGTGTGTGTGTGTGTGTGTGTGTGTGTGTGTGTGTGTGTGTGCGCACGCTCGTCACCAGAGGAGATATTCACTACTTCGCTCTCGCTTGTTGATTCTATCTGCCAATTGGAAGTTTCTCCTAATGGTAGGCATGTGTTTTCGAACCGGCAAATCAGTTGGCAGTGGGTGTGTTGGACCTGTTCAGCCGGGAGCAGACTACATTGGTGTGTGGGCCGAAAAACTGATCGGTTGAGCATGGAAAAATACAAGGCAACCTAGATGGGAACACTTTAAAAGCTACTCAGTCCGGCCTGTGCTGGCCCAGATGTGAAAGCGCCATTATGGGCCATTCCCATCTGTACCGGGTCGGCCCAGGCCGGGTAGCGTAGGTTGTTTACATTTCTGGATGGCCTGGTATTTTTCCGGGCCAACCAAGGCTCCTTCCCAGCCCTCTTCTCAAGGGGGTCTGCTTCAGGCCGACCAGGGCCAACACACCCACTGTTGACAGCAAATTCACACCTTCCATTAGAGCAAGCCTCTGATTGGTGGGTAGAATCAGCCCACATGGGCTTAAGACAAGGATGTGTGGAATCAACCGAGCCCGGCTGGGGCCGCGACAAAGGCAGATGCTGGCTTTATTACTCCTCCTACTTTATACACCGAACCTACATGAAAACGTGATGCATGTTATCAATAAGCCAAGCCAACAAAACATCCTGGAAACAACTGGAAAATCTTTGAAATTTCTGCAAGATGAAACAACTTGGCACTAGCTGGCACAAATATTGTCTTGCAGATGCTCATTAGTTTGGAGGTTGTGCTAAGCTGGCCTGCTTTTACAGAAAATTAGGCATTTCCCTGTGTGCATGTAGCTGCATGAAAATCAACCAAAATGGAAACCGCTATAATAGCACAAACTATTATTTGTTTACTTGTTTTAATTCAAGGTGTTGGTGAAGAACGATGCTCGGCGAACTCGCTCCTTCTCCTGGACGCAGTTTGTTGAGATAAGGCTTGGTGCTCTGGTTCTCAGCCTTCACCAGCACCTGACGGTCCGAAGGAATGGTACTCGCATCGCCCTGCCCTACCACGGCCCTGGGGTACACATCGACCTGGATGGATACCTGCTTAAGCTCACCACCATTGCAGGTCAGAAATCAGCTGTACAGTAAAAGTGTCTCAACTTCTAAGTGAATTTCTGCTGTCTTAAAACAACTCTGATATTTTAGGTTTCACAGGGGTTTATGCAAATGTTATTTTAACCTGTATACTTCCACAATTTCATGTAAATAATCATGCAATGCAAAACGTACAACAATAGGCATGTTTCCTTTACCAGAACTTTTCAGCATGCGTGTCTCCACTTCCCTGGGCTTGCCAAATAGTCGTTTTCTAAGCTATTTTCAGGAACTTTTGGAATATTTGAACAGGGGTAGGTACTCAGAATAGCCCGGTGGAGTTCCTGAGCGGAACTTTTGGTTGAGATTGTATGGAGACACAACAGTTGGGAGGACCAGGCCATCTTATCTCCCAGTCAATTTCCCCCTCCCAGAATTTACCGTGAAGTTCTGACAATGGAAACATGCCTCATGAGGCACTATGATTTTTTTTTAATCTTGTTCCCCTAAGAAGCCATGACATATTTTAGTTTTCCTCTAATATTGAATAAAGGAGCCTAGAGGCTAACTTTGAGCTAACAATGCTAACAGTGAATTCAAAATATCTCAAGCTACTCTTTCAATTACCAACAACGCAATATTACAGTGAAATGTTTTTATTTACTTATATTACTGTATATGACTCGTCTTCACTTGTCATCTAGGATCTACTGGCACTGATCTGTAGCTGGCAACATTCATGAAACTCAAGAAAGTGAACGAGCCACGTGTGTGTTTAGAAACATTGGCTGCAGTACCCTAATTTCACCACAGGGTGTCCTTCTTCCTTTTCACATCATGCACCTTTAATTCAGTTTACATTTGTTAACTTCATTCAACAGAACACCGCCATGTCTAACATGTTCTTGTTACACGATACATTAGCTAAACGTACTTGTAACTTTGTCACCAGGTCTGGAGATCACGTGGGATGGTGATAGTTTTGTTGAAGTTGTAGCAGCTCCCCACCTGCGCGGACGCCTCTGCGGCCTTTGTGGGAACTACAACGGCCACAAGCGAGACGACACCATGGGAGGTGACGGCCAGTTCAAGTTTGACGTGGACGAGTTTGCAGAGTCGTGGCGAGTTGAGGGAAATGAGGTTTGCTCCCAGCAGCATCCGCCTCGCAGGCCTACATCCTTCCTGTGTCCTGGCAGTGTTAAGGTTAAGTTTCGAGCCCACCGGGACTGTCAGAAGATAAAGTCCTGGGAGTTTCAGAAGTGCCATCGTGTGGTGGACTTTGGTCCTTTCTACAGGTGAGTACAAAGCTGTACGTGACACACCCAGCTTTGTTAGAAGATGATACTTTTTGTGCTTTTAACTGTAAAACCAAAACTTGTAAAAATGTGCTTCGTGTGCATTTCCCTAAAGCTGATAAAAGTCTCTAAATCAAAAAATCCTCCTTTTGCAGGTCTTGCGTGACGGACATGTGTGAGTGTCCGGTGCATAAAAACTGCTACTGCGAGTCCTTTATTGCCTACAGCCGAGCCTGTGAGAGGGAAGGGGTGCCCGTCCTGTGGAAGCCTGACAATGTTTGCATGGGTTAGTGACACCACTCATAAACCACCTCAGGGCACTTTGCATCAAGAGTTGAGAGATCAGTTAAATGTTTGAAATTCTGTACGGATAAAAGTCTAACACCAAATATAGATCTAGAGTATCTAGAGTCCGATTTGCACAACCCCCATCAGCAGTGCTTAGTTCATTCCGACTGAACATCTTAGGAGACGAAACTACAACTCTGAGACGAACGGAGCGACTCGGACCTATTGGCACCCATGCAAAATGGATGCTGGTTTGTCTAGGGCTACCTTCCAGAATGCATTACATAACAATCGAGTTTTAGCTACTGTAAAGTACGCTGTTGAGCAGGACACCCACGTCCAAACACTTTCCTGAAACCCTATTTAACTTTTGTGCAGTCTTTGTAAAACAATACTTTTCATTGCATTATGCTAGACAGGAAGACAGATAATTTTCAATGGTCCCTCAGATAAATGCGGTTGTGAAATCACGTTTCTTTCAACTGCACAGGTTAACACGCCTGAAACAGTCCCATTTAGAATCTGTAATTGACGCCTTTACCACTTCTCGCTTAGACTATGTGAATTCACTCCTCATCAGCACCCCTCTTTCAGCCTGTAACCGGCTGCAGATGGTACAAAACGCTGCTGCAAGGCTCTTAACAAACACAAACAGATGTAGCCTTATCACCCCAGTGCTGGCTAATCTTCATTGGTTGCCCGTCACCTTTAGGGTGCGTTTCAAGATCCTGCTCTTTGTATTCAAAGCACTGAACGGACTTGCACCACCCTACCTGCGCGACCTGCAAAAAGTAACAATAAAGCTAGAGGAGAGGGCCTTTATGCGTGCTGATCCCGTCCTTCGGAATGCACAATCCGACTGTCAACATCCGTTGTTGTCGTCAAGTCACGCTTGAAGAACCACTTTTATGATTTGGCTTTTGGACACTGACTCCTTTTAATCTTTGTTTTGTTTCCTTTCATTTTTGAACAGTTGTTTTTTTCTCTCTATTTATTGATTGTTTGTCTATTTTAATGATTCGATATTTTAATGTATTGTATCGGTCAGTTTTGTATTCATTTGTTGATCGTTTACTTTTGAACGGTCCGTGAAGGACCATTGCCTTGTGCGGTGCTTTAGGCAGCTGCCATGCTGTGTTGAAATTGCATTATATAGAAATAAAATAGTATGGTGTGGTATAAATGCTTGGTACTTTCCTTGACTCTTTTCTTACTTTGCTTCCTTTCCCACCAGCCACCCAGTGTAAACACGACGCCGTGTACGACACCTGTGGCCCGGGCTGCACCAAAACCTGCGACAACTGGAACGAGATCGGACCTTGTAACAAGCCCTGCGTAGCCGGCTGCCACTGCCCCGCCAACTTGGTGCTGAATCACGGACACTGTATCAAACCCACAGCCTGCCCTGGTCGGTGACCCTTGTTACCCAGGCGGGAAGGGGGCTAGGTTAGGGAGGGTCGTCTGTAGGGTCCAAAGAAGGGGGCCAAAGTAACTGAGAAGTATTAAAGATGCTAAAGGGTCTCGAGTCTACAGATCAGACACACCGAGGTACTCAGGGTCAGAGGAACGTGTCAGAACAAGCTGGAGTAGAGGACCGATGGGAGACCGATCGTCTCCTGTGATGCCAAATGCTGTGATTAAAGCAGTTTCACCACAAGAGGGTGCTAATTTACGTCTTGAGGAAGAACTGGAATCTCACCTGGAGATTTAACTTCTTGCACAACTGAGGAACATTCGACATGTTACAGTGAATCTTCAGAAGAAAGCTGGAGCCTGAGGACTCGTATTGGAGCCAAAATGGTGCTCGGATTTCTCTTCAAGTCACAAAAATGGGAAAACGGGCATCTAGGTTTAAGATTACGTAATGGGGAAACCTTCTGATGCATTTAACAGCCTGGTTGTTCTCTATTCCATCATTTCATACTGTAAGCTAATCAGATTTATATGAGAGACAGGACAGCTTTTATATTATTATTGCTCTAATTATTATTTGTTGCTGTTGTTAATTTATATATCCTTCATTGACGTGTTGTAGCAGGAGCCAGGATCATGACTATAATTGTTATAAATGATTTAAAGGGAAACAAAAAGCTATTTATGTTTTTGTTGCGTAGTTTTTGTGTTACTGTTTGAAGAGAAATGCCCAAATGTGACTCTGTTGTTGCACCAAAGCAGGTAAAAATAAATACTGTAATGTATTATTGCTCAATGTACAGGTTGTTGGCGATGATACAGAACTGAAGGTGTTCTTGTAAACAAATGTTTCACTTGAAAACAATTATTTAAAGACCAGCCATATAATCTTTTCTGAGTTCATTTTGACCGCTCTCTCGGTTTTTTAAGTGCAGAAGGTTGGATTCGTAGGCTCACTGAAAATAATTAAAGAAACTTGCAAAGAAAAGATTCATAAAAGGAAATACTGTTTAAGGGGAGACTGTGCAAGTTTTTCATGTTTTTAAATTGTTTTCCTGAGCCAGTATGTGCTAAAATGACCCCTTACAGGGTAATGAAATCTCACTCAGACCCCTACCGCCCTCTGTGGCCAGAATACCGCATTTGCAACTTCACAGTGGCCAGTGTTGTGTCAAAATGAGTTCCCCTGTCGAGATCTGTTTCTTTTCCACCCAGGTGCGAGTTTGAACGCCTTGTAAAAATGTGCGTCCTAACCATAACCATAAAACAAGCATAAGAATCGTGTTACACAGTAATTTCATAAATTATATTTATTCTAAACATACATTTTTGGTGACAGGGCGATTATGGTTAGGGTTATTTTTGTGAGTGGATGGTTCCAACTTGTAGCTGGGTGGAAGAGAAAGATCTCGACGAGCTCTGGTTTGTGATTGGCTTAGAAAAAAATGGAGCGGACAAACCTGGGACTGCAGTCTGCTTCCAGCAAGTCTCCAGTGTGTTTTAGATCACGAACACAGCTGATTTGTTTCATTTAGTTATGAATCACTTCTGTATACACTAATGAAGGCTGACGAGACATTTCAGCTGTTAGATTAAGATGTTAAAAAAGACGAACGCCTGCCGAGGAGGTAAGTTTCTATTTTGGTTCTACTAAACGGACACTAGGGGGTGCTAAAAGCAAGCAAAACCACCTAGTCTCCAAAATACATTATCAGTTTTCTAATCAATAATGCAAAAAATTACTATCATTCTAGAGCCACACCTTATTTGAAAAGCAGAAAAAAAAACTAAAAAAAAGTTTAAAACTTTTTTTGTGACTTCTGCAAGATTTTAATAACTTCAGCTTTGTACAGAATAGGTGTCACAAAAACAAGCTTTGAAGTAAAAAAAAAACACAACAAAATGGTGTTGCAGAGCACCGTCTGGATGTTCATTCTTCCACTTATAATAGAAGTAAAAACAGGCTGAAGATGTTTAAAGTCCAGTTCACAATTCTGAGATTTTAGAACAGTAAAAGTACTCGTTTAGACTAAATTTCCAGTAGTTGGTGCAGTTTTTGCTTTGATTGCTTAGCGAGTCACCACAAGGACAAATGAGAGGAACAAATCAAAATAACTGATTTTTATGTCCAAAAAAATAAAGTTTCTCACCCTAAAGAAAATGTTATATTTCTATTCTTTGACACTATTGTGTTTAACACATCAACAATGGGCAGATTTATGAATCACAACTTTTCAAAATGAATAAAAGAAAATTTTAAATGATCTATTGTCTTCTCTAGCAGTAACCGTCCTGTAGCATCAGCACCATTCACAACAAAACTGGGATTTATGTGATTAATAAGAATACAGAAAAGAAAGCGTGGGGCCGCCATTCTTAATGTGTTAATATTTATACCAACAACATCATTTAACACCATTTTCACAGACATTAACACTTAACACAGCTCAGCCAGAACATCACCATCAGTGGAAGGGAAGGACTTTGTTCAAATCCAAACATCTGCTTAGAAAAAAACCTCTTGAGTGATGATTTCTGCAGCTCGCTTTTTTTTTAAATGAGCCAAAGTCATTAAAACCATTTGCGTAGGAAGGCAGAATTCTACAAAACCAGATCAAACGGCACTAAAAACCAGCAGCTGCATCCAGTTATATTTGATCTAAATCTGCCACCAAGTTCCAGTGGTCAGCATTTAGCAACAACTAGTTTTTTAATGTTTTTAACAAATTTAATTTTGTTTTAACCTCAAACGGTCAGTATTATTATTGTTATTGTTATTATTATGTTTACTTATGTCATAAAATCTGCAGATTAAAGGAAAAGGCGCTGATGTCACTGGTGCGGTTAACAAAAAACAAAACAAAAACAAAAAAAAAAACAAACGCAGAAACACAACCATTCAACACCATTACATATGAACTCCTGCATATCTTTTACATGAGATCAACTCTTTGGCTTATTTCTGAACTAATACATTCACCCCCATGTCTTCACTGAAACGCTGCAAGGCATTAAAATGTAATACGGAGTGGTTTCATTCAGAATCAGAAATGATGGAATATTTGTTAAAAAGGGAAAAAAAACTTGTCTGAAACTAACTACATTTGTTTTCTTTCTCATCAGAAAACCTGATTTGTCATCATTTCTTGTCTCCATGGTAACTGCTTGTTATCTGACCTCTGATGTGGTTAATTAAAAGAATTCAACAAAACATTTTAGCTTTTCTGAACCCGTAGTTTTGAATTCATCTCTAAAAAATTGTGCATTATTTTAGGGTTTATTTGTATTTTTTGATGTTTCAATCAAATAAGAACTATCTTCCTAAAATGTTTTTAGAAACCAAATTAAAGCTGAAATTAGAAGGTCACCAGAAAAAGTAAAAACACATTTGTGGTTCGGGGTCTTTTGCTGCCCCCTTGTGGCCGGAAAAATAACTGCAAGACATTTATTGTTTAATTATTCAATTCAACAAAATTTTAACCAGCATGAGTTGAATTTTGACGTGTTGTTTCAGAACCTAAAGCAACGTCGGACATTCCCAAAGACTAATAAAAATATACATTATCAAATTAGTTATAAGGAAATGTTTTGGGAATGAATGAAATAATCCATCCACAATAATCGGCACCTTCTCTGTTAAGACTTGGGAGGAAAAAAGTGCATTTTTTAAAATTGTTACTTGTTGCAGAGTTTTGCTGATTTTTCTATTTTTTTGCTGTTTTTTCATCCAACTAATAAAACACTAATACGCATGGAGAGAAGACTTCCACTACAGGGAAAAAGCTTTTTCATACTAGCCTCATCATAAAAAAGGAGAAAAATAGATCAATTATGCAGATAAAACTAGTGTTTTTTATAAGTACTTAAAATATGTCTGAACACTCTTTATAATCTTCTACATCCTAAAGTAAAACTCTGTTTTTTCCTATACAAAACAAAATGCACATCTAATAAAATGCTATCCTAAGGTTTCTGGGTGGCTATAATAAAATAAAATGTTAAAAAAATACAGTCAAACCAGAAACTTAAAGCTGAGGTCAAAAATCACAGCAAGTGAACGCAAGAACCAGGAAGCGAGGAGGAGGAGGAGTGTGGAGGAGGAGAGCGACTTCAGTCGTCATCACTATCGCTGCCCGACTCGCTGAGCTGAAGATCGCTTCCTGTGGAGGAAAAAGAAAAGTAATAATCTAAGTGAGTAAACTAACTCGTCTGGAATGTATCATCTGAGGAAATCCTGTAATAACACATAAAAATGTGAAGGCACTAACTGATAAATGCAGAGATTTAAAAACAGAAACAGGAGAATCAGCGTTTACGCAGAGCTACTCACGGAGTGTGTTCATGAGCTGGTTGTTGCCCTGCTGCCGGTCTCCTCCGCCGTTGGTGATGGGGGTGCAGCTGGGGGAGGTCTGGCTGAGCGGTTGCGGGGGGGCGTCGTGCTCACCATCGCTACTGCTGCTGTCGTCGCCGCTCCCCGAGCCGCTGGCTGAATCGGACGAGCTGCTGCCGCTGCTGCTCATCTGCTCGATCACCTCCACCTCCGCCCGCAGCTCTGCCAGCGGCAGCAGGTCAGAGACATTATTGGTTCTGGGTTCATTTCACACCAGTTACAATATCCAGCTGATATTTTAGCTAGAATCAGTTTGAGACACACCAGTTCCATCTTGTGACAGAACCTTCTCACCTCGTTTGATGTCATCCAGCTGAGGCTCTGGGGACGGGTTGTCCTTCGTGTGGGAGGGTGAGGTTTTGTTCCCGGCCCCTGGTTTGGTCGGGGCTCGGAACTGAGAGCTTGTCTGGGAGGAACGGACGGACTGCTGCTCGATTCGGGCCTGGATCTTACTGCTGCCCTCCGCCCTATAAAAAATAAACACGGCAGACTCACCAACTGTTGCTCCTTTCTGCTCCCCACTTTAGAATGAATGATTTATCAAGTGTGAAAAAGTAATATACAATTCTCCCACCTTGTTTTCTTGACCTGGATGCTGCTGCTGAGCTTCTCCAGGACAAATTCCCCCGTGTCGTGGTTAATGATGAGCACACAATCCTTCTGATACAACCGCTTGTTTCCTTTAAATACCGTCATTGGAGGCGTGGAGCCCTGGAAGAGTATGTAACTTTACTTGATCCTTTGATTTTTCTTAATAAAATCATACAAAGGGGCTTTTACTTGTTTATTTTATTGGTTCCTGATGTAACTAGATGAAACTGAAACTACATTTAAACATAATCAACTATGATTACTCAACCTAAGCTGCTATCTGACTTTGTTAGCAGAGGGAAAGCACTTGATTGACACTTAATAACATTAATAATGTTGAATAACCATAACTGTGAGCCAGCTGACACAAATGTGAGAATGGTGCTTTGTTGTTTACGTCTCTGCAACCTTACTGGAATATGAGGTAGTGTTATGGTAACTTCATCTCCTTTCCCAACTTGTAGCTCTCCCTCACAGCTCGTGTCGATCGATGCTGGTTTGAAGTCATCTAAGAATAAATAAATAAATTAGGCATGAATCAAGTCCTTTCACTGCTTAGAAAAACTTAAATAAATAGAAAAAGAAGTAAATTATATAATTATTAGAGATGTATGATATATCTGCATCAATATCGAGTATTGGCCGATGTTAGTACATTTTTAACATACCAGTCCGACAATTAAAACTGGGCCGATTTTAAGAACTGATATTTTTTCCATCTTATTTCCATTTGTGTATGTTTCAGAGGGTAAGGGGCAGTTATGATGTGTAATTGTTGAGACATGTGACCGTGATGGTAATCATCTGGCGACGGTGGCACAGGAGTTAAGTGCTCGCCCTGTAATCGGAAGGTTGCAGGTTCGAGCCCCGCTCAGTCTGTTGCTGTCGTTGTGTCCTTGGGCAAGACCCATGTTGCCTGCTGGTGGTGGTCGGAAGGACCGGTGGCGCCAGTGCTCAGCAGCCTCGCCTCTGTCAGTGTGCCCCAGGGCAGCTGTGGCTACATTGTAGCTCATCCCCACCAGTGTGTGAATGTGTGTGTGAATGGGTGAATGACTGGTTGTGTTGTAAAGCACCTTGGGGGGTTCCAGGACTCTAGACGGCGCTATATCAAATACAGGCCATTTACCATTTACCAGAAGCGTGTGTGTGTGTGTGTGTGTGTGTGTGTGTGTGTGTGTGTGTGTGTGTGTGTGTGTGTGTGTGTGTGTGTATAACATAATGCAAATTCAACTTCATAGAAATAAAGCAAAACATTCCAAAATTCAACTTGCATTATTTCAGTCTATTCAAAATCTGCTGATTTCAGATGCATAAAACGGTATTGGCCAATATTGGTTATCGGCCATAACAGTGATACTAATATCGGTACCGGCCCAAAAAATTCATATCGGTGCATCCCTAATTATTATTATTATTAATTATTTAGTTTCTAAAAATGAAAGAGATTCAAACTTAGCTAATCACCCTTATATGTTTTAAATTATAACTTTGCTTGACTCTGCTAATATGACATTAATTTACAAACCGGGAAATATTTAAATAATGTGCTGCTGGTATTTGGGTGAAATGTGCATTTATTAATTATTGGTCACACTGTCTACTTGGCTTAGGAAATGTTTAAATAAACAAAGCAAAATTAAGTAAAAGTTGAATGATGATCAGTTAATAATTGATAATAACCAAGGACTTAAAAAAAACATTAAACCCCACAATTTAACTTTCTATTTTTTACATAATAAACACATTTCTGTTCAGCAATTTCTTTCAGTTCGGTGTTTTGCAGTTCATACATGTAAATAAAATTTTCTCATTTATTGTGTACTTCTGTAACCGTAATGAATGTAATAGCTGTATCACTGTGAGCTAATTACTTCCAACCAACAGCTGACTTTACTAAAAGCTTTTAGAAACACAAAGTGGTCTCTTTCACACTCACATCTGATGGTGTGAAAAGATGATTTTGGCCTTTTCTCGAAGCTCTCTCCGAGCTTCAGAACATGTTCCTCTTTGTCCAGCAGTGGATTTGTGTTTCCGTTCATGACTTCGTCTGGTTGAAACCGGATTAAATTTTACATTTGTGTTACAACCGAAAAACAGAGCTATATCCAGCAACTACCGGAGATGATAATCTAAATAAAGATAAAGTTAGCTTGCAGATGCTAACCTTTAGCAAAACAACACTTACGTCACGCGACTGCAGCTTTTTCGGTGTTAAGTGAAAAACGGTTTACTCGTATATCAGTGTGCGGGTTTTCCGTTCTGAATTCTTGGAAAATAAATATGTTTACCTCATTGAACAATGATTCAGTTATTAGTATTTGACTTAAGTATGAATTTATTTTTACCGAACACAGATTAAATAATTTTAAAAAGTAATATTTTCAGTACGTTTTTGCCATGCTGTGATGACTAATGTTTTAATTAAACTATCAAAAGTTTTCAGTTTAGTTATTTTATTATCAGATAATTGGTTTAAACAACAAAGTTAAAGGGGAAACTCGCTTAAAATAGGAGGAGAAACTGTTGTTGTGAGGAAACATATCTCGGCGTAACACTGCCTTTGGTCCGAGCATCAAATACCACCGACGGAAAACCAGACTGGGTGTAAGTGATTTCAGAGCTGTTAAAAATATTTGTAACTTATTTAAACAATAAAATTGTACAGTCAAAATTTATATTATATTTTGTATAAATTTTGTGTTTTAAAGCGTTGACCACCGTGGTATTTTTTTAATAACACCAACCGGTACCGGTGTCATCGATGCTGCACAAGATGGATGCCAAGGGTGGAAAAATATTACCTCCTTTTTCTTCCTATTGAAGCTTATATAAAGCTTTATTTTATAAACAAACTATCAGAGAGAACGGCAATCTAACACAACAATGGCGTTAATGACAAATGAAAAGTGCAAAGTTGAAGACATTGAAGAAGTGGAACCCGAAACAAAGGTGGAGTCACGGGGACGAGAAACAAAACTTTGCTCTGTCAGAGATTTAACTCCAGAGGAACGGGACAGACTGAGCAGTGAGCGGACGCTGGTATCTGATTTCAAACAAATTAAGCTGGAGAAAGAAGCGCAGAAAAATTGGGACTTGTTTTATAAAAGAAACACCACGAATTTCTTTAAAGACAGACACTGGACCACCAGAGAGTTTGAGGAGCTTAAAGCCTGTCGGGAGGTGAGCGGATAAGGGGTGTTTGATTAAACTTAGCATATGTAGTGTAGAATGAACTTAGTTTATGTAAAGAATATCAACGTTTCACAGTGATTTGAGGCCAAACGGACAACAAAGTGATGATTTTGGGTCACGTGGTCTGTCTCTTTGCAGTTCGAGTCCCAGAAACTGATTCTGCTGGAAGCTGGATGCGGGGTTGGGAACTGCATCTTCCCCCTTCTGGAGGATGACCTCAACATCTTTGTTTATGCCTGTGACTTTTCTCCTCGGGCAGTTGATTTTGTCAAAGTAAGGTGCTTAACTGTGTACTTGTGGAAATCCACCTTTTCTAGCACGTCTAGTTAATCTTAGTGCTCTAGAAGTTACAAATAAAAATGAAAAAAAGCTTTGCTGCAGTGTAGCTGCCTGTTGATGCCATTTGTGGTAAAACCCGGTTCAGCTGCCTTAACAGGAGATTTCAAGGGCTAAGAGTAACCAAATGGGAAAAAAACAGCATTTAAAGATGTAAACATTTGTTTTGTTATTTGTTTTTATTAATCAGGAAAACCCTCTTTACTGCACTGAGCGCTGTTGTGCTTTCCAGTGTGACTTAACAAGAGATGATCTGATGGAAAATGTCCCAGAAGGCAGCGTCGATGTTGTCACGCTCATCTTTGTCCTGTCGGCCATCCATCCCGACAAGATGAAGCTGGTTTTGGAGAACATCAGCAAGGTAGAGTTAAGAGCTGAGACCACCACGCACAATTCACTCAATTCAGGTGGAACTTAAAGGTGCAGTAAGTAAGAGTGACGTCCTGTGGTCAAACATGGTTACTGCAGTCTATTTTTTTGAGTACAAATCACTTTTTATGCAAACCTGCACAAAACTGGCATTCAGCGATGTAACAATCTACATGTGGCTTTAAGGTGCTGAAGCCCGGTGGTGTTGTCTTGTTCAGGGACTATGGCATGTACGACCACGCCATGCTCCGGTTTAAATCTGGAAACAAGCTTGGGGAGAACTTCTACGTTCGCCAGGATGGAACAAGGTCCTACTTCTTCTCCAAAGGTCAGCAGAGTATTTCTGTTCAGTCAACTCAGTCTCAAGTGAAAGAGGGGACATGTTGCACATTTAAAATGATTGAATTGATTATATATGAATTTGTTTTTTTTTTCCTCCTCCTGGAATCTTGCTGTTTTCAACTTTTCAGAGTTTCTGGCTAAGCTGTTTCTGGAGGCGGGCTTTGACCTTGTGTCCAACGAGTACGTTCTGAGAGAGACGGTAAACAAGAAGGAAGGACTGTGTGTTCCGAGGGTTTTCCTTCAGAGCAAATTCATCAGACCTGCACATCCACAGAGCTCCTGATGTCACTGTTAACTCACAAATCTCTAAGGGAAGACTGACATGTCAGGTTTGGACTGGATGGAAAAATGTACAAGTTCTGTATGATGGGAAGCCATCATAGGACCACAAGGGGTTTGGGGGCATTTTAAAAGAAAGTGCTCACTTTTCTTACAAAATATTTATAAGCTGTGTAACATTTACTCTGTAAATAAATTCTGAGCTTATTCAGCTCTGATGTTGAGTTGAGGGGAAGCATTTATTTTTCAGGGGCACGTGGTGGACAGTGGGGGTTGTGGACATGGCAGGGCACGGGTGCCCTGTCTGTTGAGTAGATCCCAAACAGGTGCCTCCTGCCCCAGAAGATGTTTAAATTGTTTAAAACCAGTGTTGTGCATCATGAAGGAAGAGGAGAGCCAAATGTTCAAGGATAAAAGTCTGTTAAAACCAATTTCTCTGCCAAAAGTGGAAGTGGCACCACAGGTAAAAACAGACGTGTAAGGTTTTTAAAAGATTAAAAAAAGTGGATAAAATCACATTTCAGGAGCTCAAATTGCTGCTTGCAGATGTCAATATAAGCCTTAATCACATGTGGTTGGAGCGCAATGAGACCAGGGATCTTTCCTGAAATATCCATTTATGGTGGCTCCAGGAAAAGACAAGAGTGAACGCTCTTCTCATCTGCACATTCCTGACACTGGAGTCTAAGCGTGGTGGGCGTGTCTGCATGTTGTTCACTGTAACAGGTGTTTTGCAGTTCATACGGATGCTGATGCATGCATGTTTACAGCACTTCAGAAACCCTTTCCCCACACACTTTCAAAGTGAAATGCTATGGTGTTGGCAACAGGGAAATGGTTCTGAGGGTCTTTCCCTTTTATTATTTAGCTAAAAAACCCTGAAACTGTTTTATGTTCCATTGTTTAACATGCTGGTTGTGTTGAGTCAAGGTGCCAAGTCCAGCTCTGTTTTGTTGCCTTGAAAGAATGGGGGGTTTGCGCCCTCTTGTGGCCAAAACTAGAAAAAACACTCTAGAAGGGAAGATGGGGAGTTGCTGCCCCCAAGTGGCTGAAAGTGGGTACTACACAGTTGTGCTTAGCTATTCATAACAGAATATTGTAGTCTCCTTATTTTAATGAAGCTTTAAAATAATGTGTTTTTTTTTGGCTTCTTGAAAATATGAATAAGAAGGAAAAGGATGAACCATAGAAGGAGAAGAGGAAACTGGATTTATAAAGTTGGAAGAGTTAGAAACTTAAGTTCTTTCAGAATCAAATAATACTGGATTTTTGTGTTGGAAACAGTAAAACTCACGATAAGGGTCTGTTATATAAATGTTAATTGCATCACATTAATATTTTGTCCCTGCACGAGTCCACTGTGGTGAAACTGAAGGGTCTTTGCTACTTTGCAGCATGCTCTAAATGTGGCTTCCTGTTTCCTTTAGCAAGAGAAGGTTAGCACCACAAAGCTTTAGTGATGGAAATATTTGATGAACCTACTTAAGTCCACACAAACATGAATTTTGTTCCTAAAATTGTGTTACTGTTGCCAGATTTAACTTCAGATTTTCATTTGTCATGAAGTCAGAAGACTGCTATCAGTTGATGCTCGACTCAAGGCCAGATGCAAATCCAGACAAACACTAAGTCACCCAAACCCTATTTTTAATCAATAATCACCCTAAAAGTATCTCAGAGTTTAGAAAACTTTAATTGCTTTTGTGAAAACGCTTCTGTGATCAAGTTCAAATGGTTGCAAAAGTATTTGCTTATTATCAGCAGCACCTACTAGCCCAAGCTGATCTTTCTCTGACACAAAGTAGCGTAAGGTGATCTGTACATCACTAAGACAGACGGACTGATCTGTTTGAACCTGCTGGAGTAGCAGAATGTAAAACCTGATAACCCCACACATGAGCAAGTTTGAAGAGATTTACTTTAAAGGTGCAGTAGAATGTAAAACCATAATTATCTTGTTCAAACTGTAAATTCCCACTGGCACGAAAATGAAAGCATCACATTAGATTTTAAACACAAAGAATAAGACATTTACAATTTACAAAAGAAATCAGTTGAGTGACTTAAGAGAAAGGATGAATGTGTCAAACGGCTTCCTGTTTGTCCCAATATTATTGAAACCTCATGCCAATAAGTGACTCAGAGACGCTGTCGACCTGCAAGAGAAGAAAACCAAAGAGGCATTAGTGTGAAGAAAGAGAGTGAAATGTCCATGCGTCTAAAAACAAAACGAAACAGCTCTTCAGATGGGATTTATATTCCCAAAAGACACAGAAAAATGTTTATTCAGTCTTGATACCTTGGACCTTGATTGTGATGAAATGTCCCATTGCTTGTGCTCCAGATTCACACTCAGCTTTACACTGATAGCGGCCGTCGTCTGCCTCTTCCGCTTTGGTGATCTCCGTCACGACATGTCTTTTTCTGACGGTGTTTTCAATGATCGTCTCACTGACCGTAGTAAGGTACTTCCAAGGGTGCTTCAGCTCAATGCTTTTATCATCGAGTTCATGCATCTTGTGCCATATCACATGGACCATTCCACATTTCTCAGTATCATAGTTTGCCACGCACGACAGCTTGGCCGATGAGCCTACAGCAGTAGTGGTGGTGCTCTGTGGGTAAACGACCGCCAAATAATCTGTAAAAAAATAAAGAAGGAACAGTTTGGATTATCAGGCAGTGTGATCTAATGTTACACAATCTGTTGGAAATTAACTTTAAAGGGGAAACATTTAGACTATTTTGTATTTTGTAATAATTTTATGCTCCTTACAAAACATGTCTACGAGGTTGTTTTGCACATAATCCCTCTCGATTAAAGAGATCTCACCTGTAATGTTCTGGACAGTTTCAGGACCTTCCAGAATTAGTTGTTTCAGGGCCTTGTCACTTTAATGTAAATAAGCTGTTGCTGGCCATACCCAACCACTCCTGCTTGGCTTCTGTGAGTTTAGGAGCTTGAATATCCGAGAGGAGCTCAGTGTAGAGCCGCTCATGGATGTAATTTTAGGGGGGGACAGGGGGAACATGTCTCCCCCACTTTTTCAAAGTCAAGTTTTGACCCCTGCACTTTTTACCATCCAAAAACAATATTATACCATGTTAAATTGACACTGGTTGAGCTGTAAGACCAAGCGGGAAAACAACCGTTTGTGTTGAAGCCTGTTTCCCATTGGTGCATACTGTAAAAATCCCCCCCCACACACACACACACACACACACACACACACTTCTAAAGTGAAAATTACGCTCCTCATGTCTGTAGTCTCCCTAAAAGTGTCGGGGGGCCTCATATCTAAGCAGTAATTATTAAAGGTGTGGATCACTGATACTTATAATGTTTCTTAATATTATTTCTGGTTATAATCGGTCACTCTTGAGTTTTTCATGCAGGCTGAACATGAAGATAGTCTCCTACACAGGGTTGGGCATCAATCATCGATTGAATCCGGGTCAAATTGTCAGTTTTTCTTGAAATTGTTCAAATTTTAAAATTTTGATCCCTAGTTTTGATGCCCAGTCCTCCAGAAGATGAATCTACTGGAATTGTGTGTGTTATGTTCAGTCATGGAAATCTGCAACTGTGGAGGTGTTCCAAAGTGTGGCTTTGGCTGCTGATCCAAATTGGCCAATCTCCATGGGGGAAAAAAGTGATCTACAAATTTAAAACGGCGCCTTTCAGTCAACCATACCAGATTACCACCAGCCTGCAGGGACTGTGCAGCATGCCCCCCACCCCCACCCCACCCCACCCCTGCGCAGTGGTGGACTAGGACAATAATTCAGCCCTGGAAAATCTCTGACGTATGCATCAGCGGGAGAGGGGGATGACTGTTGGGGGCGGGGGGGGGGGGGGGGGGGGGCACAGCACACCAGTGATTCTGCAATTCTACAGAACTCAAAGATTACCAGTCCGCCTTTGGCACATAAATGTAAACAGATGCGTCTGCTGAACATTTACTCCATGAGAGTGATGTAAATTTTGCAACGAAAAATGCCGCACGGAGGAGGCTCATTCAAATGCATCAACAGTGGATTTAATACGAGTTTAAAGAACAAACTCTGGGCGGAGCGAGACGAGTTTTCAAGGCTCACTGCAGAAATGAAAACGCACAAAGCATCAACAGTTAACGCAGCTACACTCCACTCACTGACACTTTTCTGTATGAGCGTGGCAGAAGTGTCAAAAGGCTGAGTAAACATCGATTACATCAACATCAGAGTTACAAAGCAAACAGGGTCAGTCGTAGAGTCGCGTTGCTCTAAGCTTTTAAGATGTGAGATGTGCTGCACCAACAGACGGCCCAAAGCGATCTAGTCCTGCCTGGTATGTGGGGTCTCTTACTGTGGGCTCCACCTGCAGCCTCACTACCTATCTCAGGCTTTTGAGAAGCACAAGCTGGTCGAACCCTAACAGGACCTGCAGGAGAAACTTTGTTCTTGTCACGAGGAGGTGATGAAGATTTTCTGCCGCACCGATCAGCAGACCATCTGTTTTCTGTGCCTCACGGATGAACACAAAGATCACGGCACTGTCTCTGCTGTGTCAGAAAGGCAGGAGACGCTGGCCGAGCTTGGAGTGAGTCGGACACAAATTCAGCAGAAAATCCAGAACATACAAAGAGAAGTTGAGATGTTAAAGGAGGAGATGGAGCTTATAAATCAATCTGCTGACAAAGCGGTGAAGAGCAGTGAGAGGATCTTTACTCAGTTTGTTTGTGTTCTTGAGAAAAGGTGCTCCACTTTACAGAAACACATCAGATCTCAGCAAAAAGCAGAAGTGTGTCCGTGAGCTTTTGGAGAACCTGGAGCAGGAGATTACCCAGCTGCAAGAGAGGGATGCTGATCTGGAAAAGCTTGCATGCACCAATGACCACATCCAGTTTTTACACAGCCACCTGTCGCTTTCAAATCATAACAAACCTAAAGAATTGCTCTACATTAATAGTCTTCCTTTAGTATACTTTAAAAATGTGACCCAAGCTGTGATGGAAACCCGAGATGAGCTGCATCACATTCTCATGGAAGAATGGCCAAAATTCTCCCTGAAAGTGGTTGAAGTAGACGTGCTACTTCCACATCCAGAACCCCAGACCAAAGAGGAATTCCTACAGTATTCTTATCCGATCACACTGGATCCCAACACTGTGAACACATGGCTGTTGTTGTCTGAAGGTAAAAGAAAAGCCACGGTGATGAAAGAGAAGCAGCCATATTCCAG